ATGCCATCTATTACCTACCTACATTCAGACCTGTACATCATTCTATCTACATTTCGATCCTCAACTCACCTTGATCAACAGAATGGGGTATCAATTAGAAGTGCTTTTAAATTGTAATAGTAATTTACATTGTTTAGAGTAATTCTTCCAAGATCACAAGCAGAGATATGACACTAAGATGTATCCAACAGATCTTGTCACCAAAAGCAAAACCAATGAAACAACATCTGTCTCTTCTAGAGCATTCAATTCCCAATTCAATTCTATTTACTACATCCTTAGAGTGGCGGACCCGCAGGGCACTTTTCATCTAATAGTGTTTCTATGGAAACGCCATTCTCAACCTGGAAGATTCTACAACCCCTCACACATGCTTTATCCACAATGAAAGGAAACTCTCATAAATCAGAAAGCGAGACAGAGAATTGGCCACACACATACAAATATTTTCCAAGCTAAAAGTTCACACAGAGAAATTAAAGAAATAAAACAAAAACACATAGCAAATATGTGTATCTGGTTTGGCAACAAAGTTTGTCTCTATTGCAAGGCGCAATGCGAAGAATCCCCAAGGTCAGTGGAAGGATGGACAGAGAGAGAGAATGTGAATAAAATAATTTCACCATCTCGACACCTCCCCCAGTTAACCTTCGGAGTCATGTTTCCACTAGTCAATGGCAAATATTGACTCCTGAATGCTTTTTTCACCTGAATCTGCAGGTGTGCATTTTAAATACCTCCCTCTTCCTAACTTTCAGGATCCCTGGGATACATAGCAACTTTGTGAAGGAAATGTAGTCACTGCCTATTTTAAATAAGAACCACATTAACTGCTTTTCTATTTAGATTACATTTAAAACTGCAACATGATAGGAAGGCAAGCAAAAAGAAAAAAAGGCCCATGATTTTTTTACTTCACTTACTCCTTTTGCTCATTTTCACTAGGCCATTGAATAAGTATCACGGTACTATGATGTACTGAAGAACCATAATATTCAAGACATGCTCAGCTGAAGCATGAAGGCATAGTAGGCTGTTTACAATTGGAATAATGACTTCAAGAAGGGAGAAAACAACCCTTTAGTGACCTGTCTCTGAGGCAATTGTGATTATACAGTGACTCATATGCAAATGTTAAGTATTTTTTAATTGTTTGTAATAATTTATCTTCAAGCAAATGGAAACATTTCTGTTAATAAGTGCTTTTATTTTCTTTTGGTTTTCTCTTATTATCTAAATCCTGTCAGTCATTCTTTTCAATTCCAGTGAATTGTTTCTTTTAAGAGAACTTCTGTACTATCAGTACTGGCAAATGTTCAACTAAGGCTGAGCTGGAAATTTGCCACACTAAAATTTCCTTCTCTATAACCACCAAACTTTAAAGCTTGTTTCCTTTTCTTTTATTGTTTTCATTATACACAAGTATGTGCAGTTTAACTTGCTAGAGACTGTGAGTCCAAAAAGGAGCTTTTAGTTCTCTCTTTGGAGTAGTAAAATGTGCTACTGATTAAATCTACCTGTGGATAACTACAGACCAGCACATTTTTCTTCTCATGCAGCTGGGGTGCAAATCCAGAAAGGTTTTTTTATTCAGGACCTATTCTACTCCTCTAACACAAAAATGCCTGAAAGCCCTTTCAAGGGCAGATTTTTTTAACTGAATAAACTCAATGAAAGGATCTGTCCATTTATTTTTAAAAGAAAACAATAACAGTTTGCTTTCAATAAGATGTGTGAGGTTTGAGAATATGCCTTTTGGCATTTAAAAAAGATTCATTTACAATTTACTAATAAATTATTATTGCTATTGTTTTAATTAGCCAGAGTTTCAACTGCTTCTCTATGTTGACCAAAAATTCAGAAAGGATTTTCTACATAAATAGCATTAATCTCATAGTAATAATGCAATCATTTAAAATTTGTACACAGTCTTCCTAATGAATTGTATTGAAGATATCTCTGAATTTAAAATTACTGAAAAATTAGTACTAAGATGTCAGTTGTTATTTACATTTGGACAAACAATAAAACTCTTTAAAATCTATAGTTTTTTTTTCTATAGAATTTATTGGAATTAGCTTCTGACTATAAACATACCTAAGCTGACCAGGAGGATTACAAAACAAAGGGAAGGGTGCACCTGTCAATGGGATTCTGTTTACTCTTGCACTTAGAGAAGTGGGAGGGAATCTTTCTAATTGGGAGAAGGAAAGGGGTGAAAATTCTCCACTCTTCACTTTGCTTTTGAGATGATGATGTGTAAGCATTCGTTTTTCAGAGGTTGTCATCAATATCCATATTTCCATATGACCAGTTGGCCCTAGAGTGGGCAGGGGGATAGAAATACCCTGCGGAAACCATAAGGCAACTTCGTTGAACATTCATAGAAAGCCAGAGAGTCCATCCTTTTGTGTTTGGGAGAAGAATGGACTTCCTCTTCCAGGGCAGAGACACAGGCCAGCAAAAAACCCTGAAAGTGAAGGCAACTAGCCAGGCTTCAAGAAATCAGGCAGTTCATGAATAATTTCTATTATATTTGCCCCAACAATGTAGAGTTCACATAAGCACTGCAATGCAGGTAAAAATCACACTATTAGAAAGGAACTTTTGCTCTGCGTGTGTGGTGTGTGTGTGTGTGTGTGTGTGTGTGTGTGTGTGTGTAAAATGATAGAGCTCAAGGACACATCTTAGAAAAACAGAAAAACTGGCAGATGAATAAAATAACTTGCTTCTTTCTCTCCTGATTCTATCTGAACCAATATTTGATTATATTTTATTCAGGGGCACCTAAACTTCAAGCAAAGCCAAAGCTCCTTGAGAGACTGAGATGGGGGCTGAAGAATCTATTTGTTCTTCCTTCTAGGACAGGAAATAGAAAAAGTTTGATTTGGATTTCAGGGCCATCTGCATTTCATCCCCACACAGCACAGCACTTAGCTGCTCAGCTCTGGGGTGGAATAGCAGCGCCCTTCCATGCACCTGTTACCAATTGTCACTTCTTACCTAAAGGTCACGTTATTGTTTTTCAGGAGATGCTCTGTTTATCCTAGTCCTCCTTCTCCCTCAGTTCAGTACTGGTTTCCTCAGTAGGAAACTTGTCTAAGGTATAAATTTCAAAATATTTACAAGCATGCAACAAGTGTCAGATAAGAAATGTTCAGGTCTAGGTAAGCCTGATATGATGTCAAAATCAAAACAGCTAAAACAATCTGCATCAACTAACTTCCAGCATTAATCAACCTCAAAAGTTCAACCTAAAATGCTCAGCAGTCTAGTTACTATTTCTCTCTCTCTCTCTCTCTCTCTCTCTCTCTCTCATAAGAATAATAGAACTGCGCCAGTGCTGGGGAAAAAAGAAAAGGTGCTAGGATAGGATCAGAAAGTTTCAGAAACCCAGTAGAAAGGGACCAGAGAAAAGGGCTTAGATCCACAAACAAAAAAGATGAAAAATTGTACCTGAAATACCAGTAG